AGTGGTTTTCCCTACCTACTTTCTTCAATTTAAGTCTGAATTTGGCAATAAGGAGTTCATGATCTGAGCCACAGTTAGGCTCCTGGTCTTGTTTTTGCCGACTGTACAGAGCTTCTCCATCTTTGGCTGCAAAGAAGATAATCAATCTGATTGTGGTGTTCACCATCTGTTGATGTCCATGTGTAGAGTCTTCTCTTGCATTTTTGGAAGAGGGTGTTTGCTATGACCACTGCGTTCTCTTGGCAAAACTCTATCAGCCTTTGCCCTGCTTCATTCCGTACTTCAAGGCCAAATTTTCCTTGCGCTTTGCTGGAAGAGCCGTAAAGAGATATCCCACATCCAAGGTAAGAGAAAATCTGTGTTTAGGCAACAAATATTTATGTGCCTCTTGTAGGTACTGCACCCTTATTTGCTACAAACATTTGGTGAAGTTCCTGTATAACCATAAAACTACTACTTCAGTTGTGTCCAAAGAAAGGAGAAGATTTTTGCACAGGGCTGGGTAAAGTCTTGAAGGAAGAGCAGTGCAATGCTGTGGGATCAAACACAATGGGAGGCAAAGAGGCATAAGGAAGACAGAATTCCAAGGGGAAAGAATTCCCACCTGGATATTCCTCCAGAGAGCTCAGCTATAACTCTGTAAGGTTCTGTGTTCTCTTTTCATAATAGAAATCACTGCCTTGTATTAAGATGCTGTTGTTCAGTCGCTCAGTCATGTGCATCTCTTTCAGACCCCAAGGACTGCAGCATGCCAGGCTTCCCTGTCCTTCACCATCTCCCAGAGCTTGCTGAAACTCACGTCCATTGAGTCAGTGATGTCATCCAACCATCTCATCCTCTATTGTCCCCTTCTCCTCCTGCCTTCAATCTTTCCCAGCATCAGGGTTTCTAATGAGCTGGCTCTTCACATCAGGTGACCAAAGTATTGGAGCTTCAGTTTTAGCATCAGTCCTTCCAATGAATATTCAGGACCGATCTCCTTTAGGATGGACTGGTTGGATCTCCTTGCAGTCCAAGGGACTCTCAAGAGTCTTCTCCAACACCACAGTTCAAAAGCATCAGTTCTTCGGCCCTCAGCCTTCTTTATGGTCCAACTCTCACACCCATACTGGACTACTGGAAAAACCATAGCTTTGACTAGACAACCTTTGTCAACAATGTCTCTGCTTTTTAATATGCTATCTGGGTTAGTCACAGCTTTTCTTCCAAAGAGCAAGCGTCTTTTAATTTCATGGCTACAGTCACCATCTGCAGTGATTTAGGAGCCCATTTTTGAATAGTTCCTACTAATTTCTTCAAATTGGATTAACACATTAGTAGGAACTATTCTATAAGTGGCCTTAAGAAATAACTCTCAAAAGTACTAAGACGTATCAATATAAGACAGAAAGGCCTTTCTGCACTGAAAAGCATTACAGCAGAGATTGAAAACTAGAAAGCTGTGAGCTAACTCAGGCCAAGAGACTTTAATGTCCACAAAATGTTAGGTGCCAATAAATAAACTTAGAAAGCTCATGTAAAAATGTTTGATTTACAGCTTTTCTTGAAAAATTACATCAGACAACATTGGGCCCCTGCAGGCCCCTAGCAGCAAACAGCTAGACCAGAAAGTCACTGAGCCTTTTAATCACCCATAACTCACCACAGTCCAGCACCTTCAGTACCTATGGCATACTGTCTGGCTTATTTGGGTACCTAATGGTCCCTGAAGGCACCTGAATTGGTGACTTCAGTTTCAAAGGAGAAGTGAGAAACTGTCATTAAATACATGGCAACTCAGAAAGAGGGGTGACCCAGCACTTGAAGGCCAGTGATGGCTTTGATGTTCACACAACCTCTGTCTGCAATGCACATTAGACATGAGAGATAGAGCAGGTCCGGAACCAGGTCACTTCCTTTTAGCCTTTTTTCTGCAGTGAATTATCATATAAGAGATTTCTTCTCAGTTATTAAGTCTAAACAATAGCTACCTCAGTGTAAATAGTGACTAGAACAACACTAAAAGAGTTGATGCAGACTCTGCCTCTCCTAGTTGCAATAGATTAGGCAGTTTGCTTTTAAATTAATGGTGTCTCAGCCTCCTCATTCATAAAATGAATGAGTTTAGCTAGAATCATCATTAAGATAGCTTTTAGCTGGCCCCTCCCCATCTATACCAGCTCTACTTATCTAGAATCTACTAAAACCACAAAAAATGTTCAAGGTCTACACCTCTAAAAAACTTCTCCAGACTCTTTCTTTGAAGTTAAGCTCATAAACTCTACCACCCAAATTTAGCACTTACTAATTCTCTAATCTCTTTGAGTTTGTTGCTTCCTTCCCCATATTCAAACAGAAAATCCCTTTAAATAAGAGACTATGCTGTTTAATTTTTAAATATTCCACAGCATTTTACATTTATTTAGCATTCAATAATTGTTTGTCAATGAAACTGAGTAATAACTAAAAACTGAAAACAACTATAAAATGGCAAACTTCCCAAAGAGCAACTTTCATCAGCCCCCTGAGAAAGAATTACCCTTATCAGCATCACAATTTGCCCAACTGATTCAGGCAGGCATAATGTGTACTTTGCAGCGAAGAAACACATAACTGGATTACCCTATTACTTTGTATTAACACATGGTCATTGCTTCCTTCCATGGTTGAAATACTCCAAAGGGAGAAAATACAAACATTAACTCACTACAATAATATACTGCAGTACTCGCTGAAAGATTAGGTTACTCACTAAAATACAGCATGAAAAACTTTTTCTTATCACAACTAAGAAAAAAAAATCAATTTCTATTAAGTGCCTGCAGGTCAGACATTTAAAAACTACAGTGAAAACCACCCTAGCTCCTTCCCCACCCTATGGATGTCATCAGAAGTTCTGAGTAAGACGAGGCCAAGTTAAGATGCCATGTGGGCGGGGATTTACCCATCTTCACCAAAAAAGGAATGATATACAGGTTTTACTTGTTCTGGTCAGTCTCCCCCACCCCCACCCCCAAATAATTAAAGCTTTGGATATGTGGTCAGTCCTTCCCTATTAAAGTAAAGCCAACAGGAGAAAAGAATAATTCAAGTATGAAATTACTTTTTAAATTATTTTGTGATTGCCTGGCTTATTTAATGAATTTAAGATAGTTAAACACTAGTAAACTAGATTAACAAGTGTTAATCATGTCTTAACAGCTAGCAGAATCTAGTGGATTGAAACTAAGTCCATTTCAAAAAATGCTTTCCTGGTAACAACACTTAATACAGGCGTTTCCACTTAACCCATATTCTATGGAAGAAGGATTCGTTCAGTAATTTGTTTACAGGACGAATCTGTAATCTGTTCTGTCATCTGTAAGGCTCAAGGGTCTGAATCAAGAGGTAGTGTGCATGAACGGTAGAGGATTGATTAAAAGCGGGAGGTGAATCATGGAAAACTCCCCCTTGGACCTGTCTGGAAAAAAATAATGGCACTATCCAATTTAAAAGTATGGGAAACACTGATTAAATGCCTATACATTTTTTTCTGGGGAAATCCCTGTCAAACGCAACGGAGTTTTATAATCTGAGGGAAACAAAAAAGAGTCTCAAAAAATCTTTAAGTAATTAAAAAAAAAAAGACCTTGCAGTAGTTTCAAGTCTTTGAATAGCTTGCTTTTTTAATATCTGGCGTCGCTGATCCCGGGTTAACTCATCGTCTGACGGGAAGCCTGTCCAGTCGATCCACACGCAGCGCTGAAGAGCGCTCGGAATTAGGCGTCTTCCTTTAGCCACGCCCACACACGGAGCGTCGCGAGGAACGGAAAGTGCGCCCAGCCTCCTCACCCCGTCACACGTCAGTCTCCTCCACTTCACAGCAACAGCTCAAACACCTCCCTGTCAAATGAAACGGACAGAACCCAGACTAAACCGGGGCATGATGTCGCTGTGTCTCTTAATATAAGCGAAGGCCACTTAAACTCCCCTACTGCCCTTCGAAAGGAAAACCCTAAGTGCCGCCCCAAGTCCCATGCGTGCATGCATGATTTATACATAACCCTGCTCCTACTTTGGAGAACTCCAAAGGAACGGAATACATTTCTCCGGGATGGCAACCGGGCACGGCGTGGGAAAACCCTTCCATTTCCGTTTTCTGCTGTGCCCACAGCACCAAAGCGTCAGGCACCGGTTCCTAAGCTAGTTTCACGTTTGTTAAGAGGCTTCACACAATCTAGCAGAATTCTTCAAAGCCGGGGGCCAACTCGCTAATTTCAAATTTCGGGCGCAATGATGAAGAGCGTCCTTCTCCCCAGTTCCAGCCGCTCATCAAAGCGACGAGTTCTGAGGAGCGACTCTCCACAAGTGACTGCGACCTTCCCTCATACGCACACATCCTACTCCACAGGCTAAAGCAGCCGTCGGGGAACGAAGTCCTTACTTGGCCACCAGTTTGGGGTAGGGAATCTCCCTCTCCAAGGACCACCGGCACAGGAAGAGAGTCTCCCCCCCTACACTCCCAGCTCTCTGTACCCCTCAAGGGGCGGGGCTCGGGCTCCAGGGAATCAGACCAGGCAACCTGGACACCCTAAACCAGCAGGAGACTCCCCCACAAACACCCCCAAACCAGCCTGGCCAACGGCCGCCAGTGAGGCAAGCCCACCAGGAGTGACGTCAGGTGTGATTAAGTTGGCGCGTCACCTCGACGTCAGCCTCTCACCTCTCGGACGTCCCGTCCCGGGAGCAAAACTCCGGCGACTTTGAGCTCCGCCCCTGTGAGAGTGGGAGGCGGCCAATAAGGGCGGTCCTAAGGAGCCCCGGGGGCCAATGAGAAGAGCCCGGGGCGGGGCGCGAGGCCGGAGGGCGGGGCGGGCGGCGGCGGTGGCCGCCGGAGGTCTGGCCTGCGCGCAGTATATGACAGTACGTCAGCAGCGGGATGGCCGTAGCTGTGGCGGCGGCTGCAGACGCCCGAGCAGCCGCGGCCGCAGTGGAGGCTGAAGCCCGAGCGGCGTCGGCGGCGGCACCCCGGGGAGTTTAAGATGGCGGCGGGGGGGGCGGCGGCGGCGGCGGGCCTGCGGGAGGAGCAGCGTTACGGGCTGTCGTGCGGGCGGCTGGGACAGGACCACATCACCGTACTGCATGTGAAGCTCACCGAGACGGCGATCCGCGCGCTCGAGACCTACCAGAGTCACAAGGTGAGGCCGGGCGGCTGAGCCGGCCCAGGCTCGGACAGAGGGGAGAGGGCGTCCCCGGCCGCGCCGCCCCCTGTCCGACCCGGCGGCACCTGGCTCGGGGCCGGCGGAGCGGTGACTCGCCTCGGCTGCCGTCCGCGCGCGCCGCGGTGGGGCCGGGCAGGGCCGGGCGAGGGTGGCTGACGGCCGCCGCCGTCCGGGGCCGGCCGGGCGCCGGGGCGTGTGGCCGGGGGAGGCGAGCGGGCGGGCGGGCGGGCGGCCCCTGGCGGCGGGGCCGAGGCCGCCGCAGCCCCTGAGCCGCGGGGACTTTCCGACGGCGCCCGCGGGGCTTTTCTAGCCTTTTCGGTCCCGCTGAGGGAGAGAGGCAACCAGGGAAGAGACGAGTGAAATGGCTCCTCTGCCCCCACGACGTTTGGGGGTGGATGGGGGGAGGGCAGCGTCCAGATACCGAACGGAGAGGACCGGCTGGCACTAGCCGTCCGCTTTTGGTGGGGTGAGGGGGGGAGTCCTAACCGTAGAGCCTCGGAGAGACCGGGACCCAGGCGCTCCGCGAGTGAAGGTGGGACACACACTTACCCGCAGGGACTTGGGGGCACACGGGCGGTCGCGTACGGGGCGTGGAGGGGTGGGTGGGGTGGGTGCCCATCGTGTACTCGCAGAGGCTGACACGGGCGCTCCGCGTCCGCGGGCGGAGGGGGGCACACCTTACACTTCGAGGGACTCGGGCACAGGGGCGCTTCGCGTTCCCAGAGAACCGGGGAGTCACACACACACACACACACAGCCAGCGCTCACCCGGGAGCAAGGACCTCGGTCCCCGAGAGAGAAGGATTCTCGGTGGCTCCTCATCCCCCAAAGACGCGTCGCTCGCTGCTGGGGCGGACTCACTGACCTAGAGAGAGACCGGGATCGGGGTGCGGGGCTTGGGGAGGTGGTTACACTGCATTCTGGGCAGACTCGGGTGTCGCACCCCGCTCCGCCTTCCGGAGAGAGACCCGTGGACACAGTCACACACACAACTCGAGCACAGCGAAGGTTCACAGACTCGGCGATTGGAGGACAAACCAAGGAACGCGTTTGCAGGTTTAAAAAAAAAAAAGTGAGAGAGAGGGTGGAAGGCACTGCCAAGGGACGCAGCAAGCGGAGTGCCTGGGGACGCCGTTTATGGCCATGCACTACCGTGTGTGGGTGAGGGAGGCAGAGTGGACGCATCGCGAAAGGGAAGGCATAGATCATCTGAGAGACATCCGTAGAGGAGAGAAACCGCAGGGCATCCCGACGAAGAGCCGAGCCCATGCCGAGGAAACACGCACCGATTAACTGATCTCATAAAGCAGGCGCAGAGGCCGGGAGGACACCCCGACACACACAGTTGTTCAGATAAAAGTGGAGAAAGGAATTAACATCTGTTGAGCTCCCACTAGTGCCAGGCACTTTAAATGCTTCGAAGGAAGGCCCAGAGCCTAACGCAAAACGGCAGGAGAGGTGTGAACCTGGGCCAAGGGAGACTTAACCTTCAGAGGCGCCCCCATTCCTAAGGCTGCACGCAGGGGGAGGCACGCGGCTGTGCACAGCTTGAGAAGTGCCCGAACTCCCCTAACAGTGTACGTGTAAACAGCAGGAGAGACTCAGGGACATGCCCGCAGATGGCACTCACAGATTGAGTGGGCGCATGAATGTACATTCCAGGGCATATGTGTTACCCACCAGAGACTACAGGTGAAAAACCCTCAGACCCGGGAGTGGAGGGAGGAGGGTGTGCACAAGGAGAAGCCTTGCACACACCTCTGAAATCTCGGGGCGGGGGTGGGGGGGAGGTCTCAGGTATAACTGGGAAGTCAGTGTATACTCAGCAGTAGGAAGGCGAGGAAATAAAGAAAAACTGCTTGTGTCAGTAGCTACTCCCAGACAGGTGCAGCAGGGGAGAGAGCAGCGCCAGCGTGGAGTGCGAGGCCCCGAGTGCGGGAAGCCAGATAGTGTGGGAAGGCAGACAGTGGAGAGAAACTCAGCCCTGCAAGATGGAGAGAGAAGTCTGTCTCTGTTCTAGGGGAGGGCGTGGAAGGAATGACAAGAGGGAAGAAGGTAGGTCAGGGTATGTAAAGAGGAAAAAACGCTCAGAAACCGGAGAGGAAGGAGTCAGCTGGAGGAGGCCAACCTGCAGTCAGAAACAGACCCGGGGAGCAGATAAGGACTGACACACAGGGGTGGGGAGAGGCATCTCTGGGGGCACTGGTTCAGCCAGCCATCTTGGAGGACAACTGGCAAACTGACAGCCGCTGGGTCAGAGGGAAGAAGGGGTGGGTGAGGAGGCCACACGGGGAAGGAGTGCTCCCCAGGGAGGCTGAGGCCACAGGAGCCCCCAGTGCACCCTGCTGCATGGCTGCTGGCACCCAAGAAGAGAGTGCTATTTGTTTTCCTCCCCTGGTTTCTGCCTCCTACACCTTAGCGCTTCGTGCTTGGGATTAAAGTTTAGAATGCTTTGAGTCCGAAAGCCCCCACATTTATATGCCATTGTCTTAAGAAATAGCAGATCAAAAATTCTTCCAGCCCACTGCTTAGTTCTTGATTATTTATGTCCACTTTATAGGCAAAGGTACCAAAGTCAATGGCTTTCCTTACTCCTGACTACTTCTGTTGCCTGTGAATATCATTACTGTCTGTTTCCATCTCTGTGTATGCAAATTAAGAGGTCTGGTCAGTCTGTACAGAGGCAGAGAAGGGAACCGGAGACTTTTCCAAGCCCTTCTACCTTTCTGAGTGTAGTCCTTGGGTGCCTTTTCTTCTGGAAGGCTGGTAGTAAAAGTGGTAATATGCAGGGAGAGGAGGAAGAAATAAGCTGATCTGATGGTTATGGTTGGTCCCAGCCTCCTTTCTGACTTATCCAGTTCCGTCCCCAGGCCTCACTGTCACTCTGGCCACGGAAACACCTTAAGGGACTTGGAAAAGCAGGAATCGGGGTAACACTGGGAACTTCTGACAGCTGAAAAATGGTGTGTTTAGCCAAACCTCCCACAGGGCCCCTCCTCCTGACTCAGGCGACCAGGGCTCCCCCTTCACAGTCAAGTTGCCAGCAGTGGGCAGATGGCCCAGCTTTTATCCTCCAGGAAAATGATACATACTTGGTCTGTTACACTTTCCACCCTTATCAAAGTAGGGCTCCTTACTTTAAATTGTAGCTGCATTTGGAATTCTGTTCTCTCCTGGGGAGGAGGGGCAGGATAGCTTTAACCTCTCATGTGAAACTTTCCCTACCATTCCTGTACTTGATAGGAAGGTGCTTGATGCTTGACAAGTGGCCTCCCAAGTGTTGGCCTATGCAAGGTTATGACTGTTATTCCTCCTCTTGTGATGACTTTCTAAGACCCAGAAACTTCGAGGTTAATTTCCTAAATTAAGCATCAGAGTTATTTTTATCCAGATTATTTTGTCCATTGGATTTTCCTAAATTAACCTACTTGACCTAAGACTTCAGGGAGGTACATTTAGGAATTTTAGGAAACTATGACTTAGGCTAAATACAGAAGTTCTCTAGATGTAATTGGGCAAGTATCCGAAATTATTAGAGTCCATGGAAACAGAATCTTTAATTGGAAACAATTCCTCACTGTTTCAAGACAAACAAACCTAATTGACCTTCATTACTCAAGTTTTCTATTTTTAGAGAAGAAATGAAAAATGCTATTTGGGAACCTTTTAAACAGAGATTAGGGTGGGGGATAGAGACATTGTGAGTTCAGGAATGGGAGTTATAGTTGGAGTAAATATCTCTTAATAGTTGTTTTTCACTCAGTTTGCATACAGAAACAGTTTCCAGTTGATTATATACAAAAAAGTATTAATTGGAAAGTTATTTTCATGGTTTGCAGAATGAACTCAGAATACTGATACAGATATTTAGTATATATTGCAAAGCTACTCCCCCCCCCCATAGTTTATTTTGAATGAAGTTACAAGTTATTAAACAAAATCACATATTACAACTTTATAGGCATTCTAATTCATGTCTGAATTTATGGTCTATATAATCCCTATACATTTTAAATGATTTAATTTAAATCCCTATACATTTAAATACATTTTATATGTTACTATAATTACATATTTCTCCCAGATATATCTTAAAAGTGTTTTAAATCAAACCCTAAAATTCTAAAGCTTATTTTAGCCAATTCCTTCAGTAATGTGTAGCTGCCTTTATTTTGACATTTGAGTAAGTGATTTTGCAGTAACAAAAACCTTACCAAAATATTGTTTTCAGAATCTGCCATTGCTGAGCCTGTTGATTTTTTTTTTTAATGTTTACTCAAAGTTTCAAAGGTGGTGGCTCAAATAATACTATCATGTTTGTCCAACTATTACGCAAAAGTCTTGCATAGATGCATCTCTAGGTAGGAGCCATTCATTATCTGTGCCTGAGCATGAGAAAGGAGATGTTTTAAGGGTTCTGTTAATGCATTCTCTTGTCAAATCCAGTTATTGGCTTTAAATAAATTCCTGCTTTGATGAGTGTCTTCTAGGAAAATGATAGTGTTTTGAAAATGTGTGCAAATACACTTAAATTTAATTTTGTATGAGAAATTCAGTCTCATTCAGTATTACCAGATTCTGTTATTTCTAGTCAAAGCATAAAGTCTTATTTAAACCTCTGAAGTTACTGTCCTTCATCATAGTTCCCTTTAATGTGTTCCATGATCTTATGAAATCACTCATCCCACAGGTCATGGGGTAGGAGATATCCTCTCCTCTCCTTTCTTTTTACCAAGTAAAGGTATCGGTGTTTGATCCATCGTGGTTTAAGGCACAAAAAGACACATGCCTTACTTTTTCCTGTCTCTTCCTTTTTTGTGCCCTCAAACAATTCTGAATGTGTACGTATGTGTTCAATAATCTGCTGTTAATAAATACAGAAGGACCTGTTCTTAAGGGTACCACTCAAGCATCCAGACCTGCCAGCACAGAGCTGCCACTGTGCTGACATGTTTACTAAGTGAAACAATGAGGTT